GATAAATCACTTCTTTGGGACTTAGTTTCCTCATCTATGAAATTGGGGGGGGGGGAGATTCAATAACCTTCCAGCTCTAGATCTAGGGTCCCATTGCTATTTAGTGAGTCTCAATTCCCTAAGTAAAGGTCACACTTCTCTGCATGCCATTCAAGTGCTTCCACAATCTGGCACCACTCTAGCCTCATCTCATATCACTCCCCTTGGGGCACCCTACACTGCAGTCAAATCACACCTCTACGCTCCCAGGCTACACTCTCCCACTTCTAGGACTTTTCCTGGAACACCCTCCTGGTTATTGCCTTTTAAATTTATACTCACCCCTTAAAGCCCACTTCAAGTTCTCTAAAGAAAGATTACCTGATCTACCCAGTGCATAAAGACCTTTCTAGCCCCACAACCACAGCCCACTGAATCACTCATATCACTCACCTTTGTTTGCTAATGCTTACTAAAGAGATCTGGAAACATTAGAGAAATAGACCCTATTATAAAAGTCTGTGCATATATTTTATCCCCCTTGGACTATGAGAACCATGAGGTCTTTTCTAAACTTCTAGCCCCAGTACTGGGCCCTACAGTCATTCCACAAGCATATATTAAGGGCCTACCGCGTACTAGGCACTGTGCTAAGCCCTAGGGATACAAAGAAAGGCAAAAAGACAATCCTAACTCTCAAGAAATTCACAGTCCAATGGCAGAGACAATTCAGAAATGACTGTTTATAGATAAAGGCAGGATAAAACAGAATAACCAAGAGAGCAAGCACTCAAATGTTTGTGGAATTAAAGTCCCCTCCAAGTACCATAAAGTGTATACACAACAGCGCCCCCCATAAGAACTCTACAGTATGCTTGACTTATCTATAATTAATGTGTTGCTTATAACATATAACATCTATCACATATATAGCATATATAGCACTCATTTTCCTCAGTTCAAATCCAGCCTCAAACACTTAATAGTTGTGTGACTCTGGACAAGTCACTTCACCCTGTTTGCCTCAGTTTTCTCATCTGTAAAATGAGCAGGAAAAGGAGATAGCAAACCACTCCAGTGTCTCTGCCAAGAAAACCCCAAATGGGGTCAGGAAGAGTCAGACATGGCTGAAAATGACTGAACCACAACATACAGCACTTTGAGTTTGCCAAGCACTTCATATTTAATTATCTTATTTGATCCTCATAGCTACCCTGTAAAATAGGTGAGAATATAGCAAACATTTCACTCACCATTTTAATTCCTTCCTTAGAAAGATTATCTTTTAGAAAGACAATTTGGATAGCCCATATCTCTTTAAAAAGCTGTCCCTGGAAGTCTGAAATGATCTTTTTTTTTCTCTTCTAGATAAATTTCCCTATAGCAAGATGAGGTATGCAAAACGACAACCAATCATTCTTTTCAAAAATAGCCATTAAAGCACATGAATATTTGAAGGCTGCTAGCTAGGGTTCAGAGAGCAGAAGTCTGGTCTTCATTCACTTTTTTTCAATCTCATCACCTCTTTCCCAGCACCTTTCCTCTATCTCTCTCACCCACCCAAAGGTCACCCCCTCAAACCCAGTATAATGGTAGGAGATGGCTCACTAAAGTCCAAAGATATATAATCAAATCACAGCTCTGCTATCTACACAGATTGGGCTTTTTCTGAATCTTTTCACTTAAAAAAATAAACAAACATCCCCAGCCAGTTTGATAATGGGATAAATATGATTATCCCCATTTTATCTAAAGGAAAATAGGCTCAAAAAGTGAATTATCCGAAGTTACATAGAAAAAAAAGGTGTGCCTAGAACTCTAGTTTTTCAAATACAGATGGGTTAGGTTGTTTTGTTTTCCTGTGTTAGCCCTATGTTTCTATCCTGAGGACAAGTTCCCAGATGTTACCAAGCATAGCAGTACCTTCAAAAATCAATTTCAGAGCTGTGTTGGGCTAAAGCTTGGGCTAAAGGCTGGCATCCCCATGGCCAGTGAATTGAGAGGGAAGAGAGGAGGTAAAGTAGTTGGAATAGAGGGAGGAGAGGTAAGAGGAAGAGGGAGCATTACCGCTGTGGAAAGTAGTTGACATGGAGGGAGCAGGCCTGGAAGAATAGCTGGTCCAGGGGAAAGAAGGATCTAGCACAGAGAGAGTAGCTGACCCTGTGGGACAATCACTGTTGGGGGCTTAGATAGGAGGGGGGAAATAGGAACAGCTGCCCCCTAGAATTAGAACAGGGAGTTCTGATTCAGCATCTTTCACTAGATTCACATGCCTAGAGTGGAAGATACGCTCCCCTCTACATAAATTCCTAAGGATAAGTGACCAGTCCCCCAGTAACTCAAGGAGCTGGTCCAGAATGGTACTCTTTCTCTCTTCCAGAGCAGAACAAAGACTAGGCATCTGGCCTGGTTCTAAGGCAACATCACTAGGGCTTAATGCAGGCCATTTGGGGATGGGGGTGGGGGACCCTGGGCAACCACAGGGTCAGCCTCTCCTTCTTAAGTGTTATTGATCCATTAAATATAACCACAGGCACAAAATCAAGGCCACTAAGCATCTCCATCCCTAGGAGGGCCGGAATTGAGTACCCAAGCATGTATGCTCTACTCCTGAGCTGCTAGGGGTGGGGAAAGTAGAGGGGAGAGAAAAGAGAAAAGGTGCTGGGGGCCTCCGCCATCCCAGCCCCAGTGTCCAGTGATGGATCAGGATCAGATGTCTGCTGGGGCCTGAATAATTCATACCTGAACCAGAGAGAGACTGAAGTCCTAGAGATCCGTAGGGCCTGTTTTCTGTCTCCTTAAATCAATTGTTGGGGAGGATAGGGTGGTGGGGAGCCCCTCTGAGCTCTGCAAAAGAAAGAAGCTTCCCCCCCCAACCCTGTGCACTGCTGCTGTAGTTTGCTCCTCAGTCCACTGCTCCACCCCTCTACAGAATCCTTTGAGAAACATTCTTTTCTTCTTCCCACTCCCCACCTCTCCCTCCCCCCAGCCAGGTATCAGTAGGCTGGGAAGCCCAAGATCTGCATCTGGAGCTGTCTATGCAATAGAAGGAATACTACCTCCATTCTCCCAAGGTCTGTGACTTCTTCCCTGTGGCCCTCTCCTCTCTGTTCTCACATAGACCCCAGCTTTTCTTCAGTGTGGGTTCTTGAGTTGCTATGATTGAAAAAAAATATTAAATCAACCAGAAGAGCATCCTTTTCTACAGCACTTGACAGTTTCTATAAAACCTGCACATAATATATAAATTACACATTGTAATAGAATGAATAGAGAGCCCCGAGCTGGGAGTCAGGAGACCTAGGTTCTAATCTTAGCTCTGACACAGACTCATGGGCTCACCCTGGACAAATCATTTCATTTCTTTGGGCCTCATTTTCCTTCTCTGTAAAAGCAGCAGCCTCAGTGATTTCTAGGGTGTCTTCTACTCCTGGTATTCTAGGATTCAAGTTCTATGAACTCCCGTTGGGAATCTTCTGGGACTCAGCCAAACCTGTGCTGATCACTCCAACTTTGATATGCTCAGGTATCTGTCTCCTCTGGCCTAGATATAGAAGAGTTCCTCAAAATTCATTTCCTAATTTTCCACATCTGTAAAATGAAAGGGTTGGGCCAGATGGTCCCTTCCCATGTTTTATGTAAGAAGGACCTTCCCAGATCTGACATTCTATAGGCTCACTTATTTTACTGGATCCTCAACATTTCTGAGAGGGAGGCAGGGCAAGCACAATGATAACCCATTTTATAGATTAAAAAGAAAAAAGTTGATGACCAGAAATAGGAAGTGATTTGCCTAAGATAATACAGCAAGTTAGTGACAGAGCTGGGACTCCACCCTCCTCTTCATCCCTAGACTTACAGACTAGGGCTTTTTCCTCTACAAAATAGGGATTTCTTAGTTACTAGTATTAGTATGTTATTAGTATAAAGGCAATTCAGGATCATATGGGAAAACTCTCAGGCTCAGTTGGGTTACCAATATAATAAGGCCAGACCATGAAGCCAATTAAGGAAGTTTAAAACGCAGATAAGTGAAAGCTGAGTCACTGACTGCCCACCCACCCTTCTTTGAGCTCCTCTTGTCTGCCAAGGCCTGTGCCAATGAGAGGACAAGACGAAGGCAAAGCAGAGGAGACAGTAACTGAAGAGCATACCATCTAAGCCCTCAAGGAGCCTAGTCTGGCTGGGGAAGGGGAAAACGGTAGATGGGGACAGTGAGCACTGGGAGAGACAAGTGTGGGCTGGGGAGGTGGTCAAATAATGCTTCCCCGAGGTGGGATCTGAGGTGGGCAGGCAGATAACTGGGAGACAAACGCAGACTATCAGAGCTAGAAGGGGTTCTGAGGAATCTTCTAGTTCAAACTTTTCATCTTTTAGATGGATTGAGAAATGACTTGTCCAAGGTTACACATCACTTAGGGAGCAAAGCCTAAGTTAACACAAAAGAGTGGGATTTAAAGGAATGTCAGAACCCTCATTTATCCCTACTCCAACTCGAACCTCGAGAAAAAGGCTCAAGGCTGATATCAGGAAGGTAACTTCGCAAATTTTTCTCTCCCTCTCCCCTAGTTCGGGGAGGTCAGTTCTTGGCTGAAGGTAAGGGAAGGTATGGGGAGTGTGACTCAAATCCCTAACCTCGAACTCACCCTGGAAGAACCTTCCACCTTGGGGGCTAGCAGACTCTCTACTTTCCCCACAGTTGGAAGAGGGCAGGAAGATTTAAAGGAACAGAAGAATATGGTTGAAGGATGGAGGAGAGCAATTCCACTGATGTGATAGAGCCACGATGCTGAGTTGGGGGTAGGGGGGAGAGAAGCGAAGATAATAAAAGGGTTCGGAAAGAGGGGCGGGGAAAATGGAGAACTTGAGAGAGTCCAGAGTCTGGGCCTCCTCCTCGAGTCCCCCGCCCGCCCGGGACCTAAGGAAGAAGAAGGCGTGTCCTCGATGCCCGGGAGGAGGGAGAAGAGGGAGGGCAGAGTGGTCCAGTAGTAAAGTCCTCCCCACACCGGGGCTGTCCTGGCGCGGTAAGGGGTAGAGAGGAAGCTGAGGCGTGCTTCACATCTTTCCGGAGAACCCATCTCCAGTCCGCAGCCTAACCATCCCTCCCCATCCACTTCCCCAAAGGGGCACCTGGGGCTTCCAGCTGCAGAGAAACGAGGCAAGCCAGCCCAGCCCAGCCCAGCCGGGCTCCTCCCTTCTTGACCCAACTCACTTTCTGAGAGGAACCGCGACCTTTATACTCTCCCCCCACCCCACGCAGTCCAAGCTTCCTTCCCAGGGGGGCCTGGATGTGGAGGCGGAAGCTATGGTCCCGCGCCCTTCGCCGCCCAGGGCTCCGGCCGCCGCCCGGGGCTCGGGGCTGCCAGGAGTCCTGGGTCCTCCACCGCCGCCGCCTCCCCCGCCTGGGCTCCCGCCGCTGCTGCTCGCGCCACCGCCCGCTGCTCCTGCTCCTGCTGCTTCTCCTCCTGCTGAGCACGCCGGCCGCTCCGTGCCCCTATCAGTGCTACTGTTTTGGGAGCCGGGAGACAATACGCTGCAGCCACATCGTCCTACAGGAACTGCCCCGCGACCTGCCCGCCGACGCGCACAACCTCAGCATAGTGGGCTCCAACCTGACCGTCCTGCGCGCCGCCGCCTTTGCCGGGGAGGAGCTGCCCACGGCTGAGGGCAATAGCAGCGGCGGCGGAGGCTGGGCAGTACGTCTGGCCAACCTCACATCCCTACTGCTCAACAAAGACAACATCCAGGTGGTAGAGGACGGCGCCTTCTGGGGCCTGCCCCGCCTGGCCTCCCTGGACCTCAGCTACAACCCGTTGAGCGCCCTGGGTGCCTCTACCTTCCGTCTACTGCCCGCCCTGAGTGTCCTCAGGCTCAATGCCGCCGCGCGCGGGCTTGGTGAGCAACTGGACGCCGCCCTCCGCGGCCTGGCCACCCTGCGCCGCCTCGAGCTGCAAGCCAATGAGCTGACCCACCTGCCGCCCTCCGCCCTGGATCTGGCGCAACTAGAGGTGCTGGACGCGCAAAGCAACGCACTGACTGGGCTAGCGCCGGATGAACTGCGCGCGTTGGGCAGGGAGACCCAGGGGACCCCGACGGCTCCGGGCCCTAGAGGGCTGCGTGTGTGCCTAGCAAAAAACCCTCTGCTCTGTGACTGTGGGGTGCGGGCGCTTCTGACCCTACTCTACAAGGCCCCCTGGCAGGTGCCTGACGCGCGCAGTCTGCGCTGCGCCGCGCCCCAGGTGCTCCAAGGCGTTTCTTTACTGGCCTTGAACGAGTCAAAGCTGAGCTGCACCCAAGGTCCCCAAGAAAAGGAGGAAGGGGATGAGGAAGGGAAAAGAAGGGGGAAAGAGGAGGGGCCGGAGGGGAATGAGGAGGAGGGAACAGAGGGAAGGGATGAGAAAGGGCAGACGGGTACTGGGGAGGAGTTGGAAGCGTCCTACGTCTTCTTCGGCATCGTTCTGGCGCTCATTGGTGTAGTCTTTCTTATGGTTCTGTACCTGAACCGGCGAGGCATCAAGCGCTGGACGCGCAACCTACGCGAGGCGTGCAGGGACCAGATGGAGGGCTACCACTACCGCTACGAACAGGACGCCGACCCCCGGAGGTCTGGCACCGCCAGCTCATCTGGCACCCTCTGAGCTCGGCCCTCTCAGTCAGGCGGACTGGTTTGCTAGGAAGAAGAGGGGAACTTAGCCGCTATCTGCACCCAACCTTTGGCTCTTAGCCCCTACCCATCCTTTCCCATCTTCAGCATTTAGCCCCCAACCCCTCCCCTTGCTTCAACTAATCCTTAGCTCTTAACCCCCTCCTATCAAAATTTAGGCACTTTGCTCCACCTGGTAAACCTGTAAACCCTAGTCTTGGGCCTTCTCTCAAGTTGTAGGCACTTAACATTCCCCATTATTAGCCACCCCCTTACACTATCCCCCAGGCCTGGGGAAATTAGGACTCAGCCTCGAGTATAGCACGCTCTTCCTTCTCTTCCTATGCTTTCTCCCCTCCTCCTCTTCTTCCTCTTCCTCGTCCTTGTATTCTTCCTTTGCTTCCTAGCCCTTCTCCTTTCTTTTCCTCCATCTTCTCTTTTCCTTTTTTCATTCCTGCCCCCCTTCTTTATTCCCCTCATCTTCTACCCTACCCCCACCCCTCTCTCCTCCTTTGGTTTTGGGCTAGGGAGGAGTCATTAGGATACTAACTGAGAGGGAGGAAAAGATGAGGAGAAATCTCATCTTAAGGCTTTGCAGAAATAGAGGAGTTTGAACGCACTCCCTGAACAGACAGCTGGACTGCTCTCAGGGCCCATTGCTGCTAAAAATGGTGCCTCCACTCCATTCCGCCTATTCCCCTCTCCCTTACCCACCCAATCCTCCTTCCTTCTCTCCCTTCTCATCAGGTGAGATATTTATAGAGCCCTTAGCACAGTGCGTGGCATGTAGCAGGCGCTATATAAATGCTTATTCCCTCCCCTCCCCCATTAATTCGTCTTCTTTCTGTTCCCAATACACCTCCTTCCCACATTTGTCCCTCTCCTCCCTCCCTTTCCTCCTTTGTTCATCTCACTTCTCCCTCACTTGAAATCTCTTTCCTCCCCCTTCATGGAAAACAGAGTGTTAAAGCTAGAAAGGATCTTAAAGCTTATCTAAGCCAAACATTTCTTGACCCTGCTTTCCCCTTCTCTCTGCTTCTCTCTGCTCTTTTTCCTTTTTCTACCTCTTCCTCTTCCAATGCTTCTCCTCTATGACCACCCCTTCCCCACTCCTACCTACTAAACAAACTTGGATCAGTCCCCTCCTCTTTCTCACCTCCTCCAAGGATTCCCACCACCTCAAACCCCTCCTTCCTCTAGGGGACCTTGGGCAATCTGACAAGTTTCCCCTCTTTTCTCAGGCACAAACTCCCCTGCTCCCTTCTCACTGGCCCCAGTGAACCTGTTAAAAATTCTGGGGTCTGTCTGTCAGCCACTTGCATGATCTCAAAGCACACCCATTGTGGGGAGGGGTACTGCCTAATCCTGGAATCCCCTCTCCCTGGGACTTACCCCTTCCGTAGGTCAGGCTGTGACAACAGACTATGTCCACTCTGTGGAAAAGGGAGCTGCCCCATCCCCAGCCCTTGAGACCCAATCCCCCTTTATCTGTTCAGTCTCTTGAGTGGTCAATTTTCTATAAAGCTTGCAATAATTTCTGGACCCTCCAGTTTCCCCCTGGAAGTGCCTGTGTCATTCTTCACCCGATCTTGGAGGGGCCCCGGGGTGTAGAGCTAACAGACAAAGAGTGGGAGTGAACCAACACACACACACACACACACACACACACACACACACACACACACACAGACAGAATAAAAAGTCACCAAATATAAAGAGGTGGAAGGGGCCTTAGAGATATAATTGAATCTCTTCATTTTACAAATAGGAAAACTGAAACCCTGAGAAGGGAAAACACTTACCCAAAATCACACAGCTATTCAGTGAACTAAGGATGGAATCATATGATGTCAGAACTAGCAGGTACCTTAGAGATCATTGAATCCACACCCTTTATTTTAGAGGCAATTGAAGCTCAGAGAGAAGACCGAAAGAACTCAAATAAGTGACAGAGGTGAGACTCATGCAATAGGACAATGACCCTATGTGCCCTTTCTCCCAAAGACTTAGAGCAGTGAGTTAGGATTATGCTACAGCACAAAGAATGAAGTAAGGTTGGGTACAAGGAAAGACTTTATGAGAAGCTGAAGGTGTGGAATGTCAGAATAAATGAGGCAAGTTATGGGATACCATTAAGCAGGTAGATAGATAAAGCACTGGGCCTAAAGTCAAGCAGACTCATCTTCCTGAGTTCAAATCCAGCCTCAGACACGTACTAGCTGTGTGACCCTGGGCAAGTCACTTAACCCTTTTTGCCTCAGTTTCCTCAGCTATAAAGTGAGCTGGAAAGGAAAGGGCAAACCACTCCAGCATCTTTGCCAAGAAAACTCCAAATGAACTCATAAAGAATCAGACACGATTGAACAGCTCATGCTCCATTGAATATTAGCATAGCAGAGCACTGGACTTGGAAATCAGAGAATGTGGGGGTTCCGGTCCTGTTCCACCACTCATTAGTTATGTGATCTTGGCTAACTCATTTGCCCTCATTGAACCTCATTCTTCTCACCTTTAACAATGTTTACACTTATCACAAAAGCACTTTTTAAACTCTAAAGTGTCAGACCCTCTAATGTTAAAGGATCTCTAGGGTCCTTTCTAGTTCTAACATTCTATTTTCCACAAAAGAGAGGAAAAAGATTTCAAGTGACAGAGAAGTAAGTAGACCATTAATGTTAAATCCCAGGTTGATTCACTGTCCCATCAATTCATTAGCCCAGAGGAAAGTCAAAGAGTTTCTTTGCAAAATCAGCCTTACTCTGATAGAATCTATGGCCCTTGATTCCAGAATTATAGGATTTGGTTATCCTGGGATATAGAATTAAGTTGATCAGGAGAATGTCATAGATATAAATTAAAGGTAGTGTGGTGAGTAAAGTTGGGCCAATGTCCTACTTTTCAAAATAAGGAAAGAATATAGGTTTTTCAAACTATAAGCCTGGAAGCTTGATTTTGACTCTTGGGGAAAATCTGGAATGAATATTTTCTGAGCATTCTGAAAGGGGAACAGCAGTCACTAAGACCCAGGGTAAATTCAATAAGATCAGGTCATCCCAGACTAACTTCACTTAGAAATGCCATTGGCATTGTTTAACTGCATTTCAGCAAAGTATTTAACTAAGCCTCATATAGACACAATGGAAACATCAAATGAATGGGCAGGTGTTGGAACCATTTGACTGAGTAGAATACAAAGACATGTGCCTCATATCTCAGTTAACAAAAATTTTGAGCTGTCTTCAATATTTCAATAGTGCAAGGATTGGTTCCTTTTGATAATTACAGGCAATATTCTTTCTAACTAATGCAGATAATGAAGAGTTGACTCACTGCTATCCTCAAGTGGAATGGGCTCCCTCAGAAGATAGTGAGTTCTTTAGCACAAGAGATCTTTTTTTTTGCCTCTTTTTTCTTTCTTCTTTTTAATTTTATTAATTTATTTTGATTTATCAACAATCACTTCCATATGCTTTTGAGTTGAAAATTTTTCTCCCCCTTCCTCCCCCCCACCCTCCCCCAGACAGCGAGCAATCTGATATAGGCTTTACATTTACATACCCATGAAACATATTTTCACATTAGTGAAGCTGTAAGTAAAAATTAAAACCAGTAGGAGGAACCATCAGAAAGATGAAACAAAACTCAACAGAAGGTAAAAATAAGTGATAGTGATTTGACTTCCATAGTTCTTTCTTTGGATGTGAACAGCATTTTCCATCCCAAGGCCTCTGGAGATGTCTTAGAACCTTGTAATGCTGAGAAGGGTTCAGTTTAACAATATTAGTCATTGCATAACGTGGTTGTTATTGTGTACAAAGTCCTCTTGGTTCTGCTCACTTCACTCAGCATCAGACCATATAAGTCTTTCCAGGTTTTTCTGAAGTCAGCCTGTTCATCATTTCTTATAGCACAATAGTATTCCATTACATTCATATACCACAACTTGCTCAGCCATTCCCCAATGGATGGGCATCCTCTCAATTTCCAATTCTTTGCCACCACAAAAAGAGCTGCTATGAATATTTTTGTACATGTGGGTCCTTTTCCCATTTGTATGATCTCTTTGGGATATAGCCCTAGAAGTACTATTGCTGGATCAAAGGGTATGCACATTTTTGTAGCCCTTTGGGCATAGTTCCAAATTGTTCTCCAAAATGGTTGGATCATTTCACAACTCCACCAACAATGTATTAGTGTTCCCATTTTCCCACATCTTCTCCAACATTTGTCATTTTCCTGTTTTGTCATGTTGGCCAATCTGATGGGTGTGATGTGGTACCTCAGAGTTGTTTTGATTTGCATTTCTCTAATCAATAACGATTTAGAGCATTTTTTCATATGACTATAGATGGCTTTAATTTCTTCATCTGAGAACTGTCTGTTCATATCCTTTGACCATTTATCAATTGGGGAATGGCTTAGCACAAGACATCTTGAAGAGGAAGATGCTTGGCCACCTACCAGGGATGTCAGGGTGGAGAGGACTGCTGCTTAGGGTACAGGTTGAATTCCATGTCCTCTGAGATCCTTTCTAGCTCTGAAATGGCATGATTCTGTGACTCATTCATACTTGCTGTCCCAAAGTGAAATAAGCTTATAAAAGAAAAAACTCTTACTCAATTAAGGGTTGGAATAGAGGCCATCTGACCTTCCTTCCAGTTCTAAGATTCTATGATAGGAGGTGAAAACCCCACCAGTCCAAGGTAGCTTAAGTCAAAGGCTCCAGGGATGCAGGAGAATGGATACTATAATTACCATCAGGCAAGGTCAATACGAGGTTTATAAATCTGGAATTATGCTTTCCCAAACTTCTTCAAAAGTGGAGAGGGATCAATAGCATTGGTCACCTCCACTGATGGGAAACTCACCACCTGTCTTGAAAGCCATTCTTATTGTGGAAGAATCTCATTACAATTTTCTTCCTTCAACTGAGCTCAAGTCTGCTCCCTTGTTCTTTTTCCTGGGACCAAGAAGAATTCTTTTCCTCTCTAGAATAAATACACCCAGTGTCATAATCCAGCTTCCTATGCTATGGTCACCAGTCCTTTCTCAAAACTGTCCACACTTCTCTGAATTCTCTCTGAATGTCAGTGTCCTTCTGAGAACATGGTGCACTGAAATGAACACAATACTCTAGATGGCTAAGATTCAGTTAGTTTTTTGGTCACCATTTCATATTTCACATTGTTGTTTTATATCGAGCATGCAACCCACTAAAAACCCCAAATCATTTTCACTTCTCCCATTCCATATTTATGCTATTTATGTCTTTTAACCCAAGCGCAAGACTTTACATTTATCCCCATTAAATTTCACCTTGTTAGACTAAGTTCAGCATTCTAGGCTGTCAAAATCTTTTTAGATTCTAACTTCATCTTCTAATATATT